GGTAAATCTCCATCACATGCGTGCTTTCACATTGAGCAGCATTAACTACACAGAGCCATTGTTCACTGACGAGCTGCGCAAAACCACGTTCATATTCGCACGATTTTTTGCGCAGCTCGTCAGTGAACAATGGCTCTGTGTAGTTAATGCTGCTCAATGTGAAAGCACGCATGTGATGGAGATTTACCACTGATTACAGAACCGGCTTTTCTGACAAGATGCGCGTTAAATATCGCATGCGATTTATCGTGCAGCCCTAATATATATACTGTTTTTTTCTCTCTCCTTAAAGTAGTTCTTATTGTCTGACCTCTGAGACTGTCTGAAGCATTTTTTCTGTTGGCTGCAGAACATGTAGAGTTTCCTCAATGTCCTGTAGAGCCCTCTGGCTGTTCTCCAGCACAAATGAGAACTGCTGAATCCGCAGGATTTCAATTAACAACCTGAAAAAAAAAGAAACACAAATAAGCAAGATGAACAAACCTGGCACTGAATTCTTCCGTTAACATCAAAGCCAGTAAATAAACATCTAGTTCTGTTGTGGCTGACATACCTTGCTCTAATCAAGCACATGATGGTCTTTAGTCGTATAATGTTATTTGTCTCCTGCTGCTTGTCGTGTTCTTCCTCAGTGCTGGATCTCTCTGGACACCTAGGAGACTCCAGGAGCCTCTGAAAACTCAAGGCCAGATTCAGCCAGTACCACGGATGGTACGGATGAAGACAGCACAGCTGCTGCAGGCTGGAGATGCTGTTTGTCAGATCTCTGTAGTGTTCATGAACACTCAGTTCCAGCTGAAGGACGCAGGTGAGGTGGCAGGTGTTGGATACTTCTGTCCTCTGTCAGTAAAACATCATCAGCAAAAGCATACATACAAGTTGAGTTAGTAGTGGAGTAAGTTATTTAATATATTTACCAGTTTCTCACAGGCATTTAGAGCCTCTTCTTTTTTCCCCAGATGACAGCAGCATCGTGCGATCCCTTCCAGCACATCTCTCTTTACTGATATGTTTCCAGCAGGTATGAGAGAGAGGCAGGATAAATACTCATCCAGAGCCACCTGTCATTGACACAACCCACCAATCAGCTTATGAATCAGATAATAGTGAGAGATGATGGTGAATTCAGCTCTTTATACCTGATACTGTTTCTTCCTGTAGGCCAGGTCTCCTCGAAACTTAAGGGTTTTTTGTTCTTCTAATGGGTCCTCAACATTTCCATCTTCACAAAACCACTAGATATAATAAAACAAAACAAAACAAAACATGGCCTGTTGGAATATGTTCCTTTATTTAATCCCTGAAAAGATACTTCAGTTTTTTGTTAGATAAGGATTTTATTTTTATGAAATATTTTAGTTATATACACACACACACACACACACTCATTTATACATATATACAAATATTTATAAATGTATTATCATATAATACTCTATCTATTATTTATCAATATATTCAAACACACACATCCTGCCATTTTTTATGACCGTGTGAATTCCGCAGAAACACCTGTATAATTATGCATAATTATGATGACAATTATCATCAATCATATGTAATTATAACCAAAGTTATATGTTACTTACCATCAGCACATATTTCATTTATGATTATAATGTGGTGAAATATCACTGACTAAAACATACCATGGTATTCTCACGTAAATACTGAACGTTACATATCGAAGTATCATTAGCATTTGCTGCCATCAATAACTTACCGTAGAAATGCCATGCTTTTCTTTGAAATGAAAGTAGCATACCATGTAAATGCTGTGTAAATATACGAGCCATTTCTGTGTGGTATCGGTAGTTTGTTGTAAATGTTGAGTGTTTTACCCACCAGAGGTTCGCAGAGTTTGGGCTCGTACGCGGGAAGAGCAGCTGAGGCTCTGTTCCTCGATTCCTCAAACACAGAATCATCAAAAGTGCTGCCCAGGATCTCCATGATAAAAACACGCGTGTGAGACTCCTCTCACACACTCATGAAACGCCACAACCCCGCAAACATTACAGAAAGAAATGTCAAGGAATCCTTCTTCTTCTTCTTTAAATTTGATTGGCGGTTGGCAAACCAACTGAAAGGTGCATTTACCGCCACCTACTGGACTGGAGTGTGGGCAGTACTTTGAAAGAAAGGACAAGGAGAGGAGGAAAAAAAGAATAATAATAATAAAAAAAAAAAATGTTTTATACCTATATATATATATAATGTCAAGGAATCCAATGAAAAGCAACACTTTAGTCTATTTGTACGTATATCAGAACGCAATATCCTTTCATTAGAAGACGACGCTACTGAACCCAACGAGACATAAACTCTCACGCCTCTAGGAGCCCCACTGTGGCTCAAAAAGCCCAGTCCTCCTTTGACAGCATCCGATTTTTGCCTTATTGGAAATGGAGACATTTGTATTGTAAGAAAAATAATCGTTACTAGCGATTTTAAATTCGCCTCTTAAAACCGGTTATTTCTCCAGCTAACGACCGTGATTGATTGGTCCATCGAGGTCCATTTTGTTACACCGCTGAGAAAAGTATCAGGTACCACGTGACATAGCGCCGAACTATAATCTTTACACTCGGATAATGGTATTGAGGTAAATGTAGTATTTTAACTAATGAATTGATAAAATATGTAATACGTTGTTTTTTAAACTCCGCTACGCCCTACAGTATTTTTATTTATTTATTACATTGTTTCATTTCGCTTTCAAAAACAATAAATATATACTTCTGTTAAACATTTAAATAATATAATACATTATATAATACATTAATACATTTCCTTCTGTGAAAATGAAAACTGGCAAGTAACAGCCAAGTGGCAACCTCCCGCTCTCTCTCGTGAAGCCAACACGGAAATGACTTAAACTGTAAATGTAAATGGGCAGTGAAAAAACCTAATTTTACTCATTTCAGAATAGAAATAGGTCACTACTTGTATACGTTAAAAGAAACAAGAAATGACAAAGCAAAAAAAACCGTAAATTACTTTAAAGCCTTAAATCTATTCTTTGAATAATTTGTAATTATTTGTACTTGTTTACAGACGTGAGTTTTTTTTATCGCTTTTCTTATTTAGTTTTTATTTATTTATTTTAAGTATTTGCAACAGTACACGATTAATAATAAAACTCTTTTTTGTTCACTAAAGCTTTAAAAGCTAAATAATTCATCATAAAAACAACAATGGAAAAACAATCAAATATTTATTAAGAAAGTTAATAGTTAAAAAAAACGCTTATTTCTGCTGATTGCCATTCTTCCAAATTGTATTTCTATGCTTGCAGTACCCGGATGTCTCACGTCACATTAGTGCGCGCTGCGTGATACAAACACATGGTCCGACATTTCCCTGAACGCTGCCGTTTTGATCAAGATTTTGAGTGTTTAGTTTTATAAACCGCTGGAATGAAAGTTAAAGTGCTTTGTAGAAACCCGGACGATTATGTTCGAGAGACGACTAGAGATATACAACGAGGTATGTAAACATAAAGTCAATATGTAAAGGTTGATGTAGTAGGAAGTAATATACTAACTGTATTATATTCCCTATCTAGTGCCCAGGAACTATGACCCGACCCTGCATCCTTTTGAGGTGCCCAGGGAATACACCAGGGCCCTAAATGCCACCAAACTGGAGAGGGTGTTTGCCAAACCTTTTGTAGCTTCACTAGATGGTCACAGAGATGGCATCAGCTGCATCACCAAACACGCCAAAAGCCTTTCAACAGTCATATCTGGTGCCTGCGATGGGGAGGTAACACTTTAAAGCCTTTACTGTGCTATTTGAGTATTAAGGCTCTTTTAGAAGCCCTTTTTTAGGTTCTTTTATTGAGCATGTTTACAATACAAGAACAACACACACGCCCGACATACAATAATACTGTAAACCACAAGACAAAGGACACAGTTAATGAAGTTCAGTTATGCAATAATTTTTTCCCCCAATATGTCAAAAGAGTGTGCAAATGACCATCTAGATTCAGTATGGATGAATGAGTGGATTCATGCTTTATTTATTTTTCCTGACAGGTGAAACTGTGGAACCTTCCTAAACAGGAGTGTTTGAGGACCGTTCAGGCTCATGAAGGATTTGTACGAGGAATCTGTTCCCGCTTTTGTGGCACTTCCTTTTTCACGGTATTTTAATCCCGCATATTCTTCCCGTGAGGCCTTGATATGGATTAAGGCATTCCAGTTAGCAAGTGGTTGTGCAGTTATATGATTCTGTGAAATCTTCATGTCATGCAACAGGTAGGAGATGACAAGACCATCAAACAATGGAACTTGGAGGCACCAGGATATGGAGTTCGGGAGGAACCAATTAACACGATTCTGGGGAAGGTACAGTTTCAGCTTACACATGTTATATTGAAGATTATGTATTATTATAATATGCAGAAATGGCTGCATTTATTTGGCCTAAAATACAGTAATATTGTAATACAATAATATTGTGAAATATTATTACAATTCAAAATAACAGTCTTCAGTGTCACACAATCCTTCGGAAACCATTCTAATATGCTGATTTGCAGCTCAGTTAATATGTGTGTGTATATATATATATATATATATATATGTGTGTGTGTGTGTGTGTGTGTGTGTTTGTTTGTTTCTTGGAGGATCATGTGACACTGAAAACTGGAGTAATGGCTGCTGAAATTTCAGCGTTTTCATCATTGAAATTAATTAAATTTTTAAATATATTCCAAAACAGTTCTTTTAAATTCTACTGACATTTCACAATATTACTGAACTAAAATGAAAAATAATTACTTTAAAAAATATATGTATTATTATATAAAAATCACCATTTTATATTGAATATACAATAAAAAGCAGGGGTTAATCTAAATATATTGCAATGTCAAGCTAAATGTAATAAACTAAATAAAAGTAATAATGTCAGTGAATAATTAGGGTATGTTTTACAGTGTTATCCACTAAATTATATTTAGTCCTATTTATAAATATGCACACACTTTTAGGGTTCTGTAAGGTTTTCAGTTTCTAACAGGCCTGATGTGTCTTGCAGGCGGTGTTCACTGGCATTGACCACCACCAGAGGGAGAGCACGTTTGTAACCTGTGGGCAGACTGTGGATATCTGGGATGAGCAGAGAAGCAGTCCCATCCGCTCCTTCAGCTGGGGTGTGGACAGCTTCAGCTGCGTCCGCTACAACCCTGTGGAGGTGATCAAATTTAATTTTAGTTTACTTCTATGGACATTTTTCATAAAATGCATTGCTTCAAAGCAGCTTTACAATGATTCAAATATGTCAAAGCCAGCGGTGACCACCATGGGATTGATGGGAATGGCTATAATACAGCACATAATACAAACTGCCCTGTTGCCCGTTACAGACCGAACTTCTCGCTAGCTGCGCATCAGACAGAAGTATCGTCTTGTATGACACCAGAGAATCTGCACCGCTTAGAAAGGTCTGCAATATTTTTACTTTTTGCCCATATGGATGAATAGTGCCATTTATGACTGTAATGAAATTACACCGTGTTTCAGGTTGTTATGCAATTGAGAAGCAATACGCTTTGCTGGAACCCAATGGAAGCATATTATTTTACCTGTGCCAACGAAGACTACAAGTGAGTTCATTTTAGCATAAAACATTACATGAGAAATTAACTAAGAGTACATAAATCTTATCACCTTTTTCTGTTTCTTCTACAGCCTTTATACTTACGATATAAGGCATCTGGATGTTCCTGTGACTGTGCACATGGATCATGTATCCGCTGTGCTGGATGTTGATTATTCACCTACAGGAAGGGAGTTTGTGTCTGCCAGCTTTGACAAAACCATCCGAATCTTTCCGAAAGACAAAGGCCACAGCAGGTGAGTGTAGTGTTGAAAGGCCAAGGAGCTCACTGTCTCTCGCAATTCGTATTGCCGCTGCATACAATCAAAAACAGTGCAAAGTAGTAGTGCAAAACAACATAAAGAAAGATAGAAGATATCTCTCTCGCTCTCGCTCTCGCTCTCGCTCTCTCTCTCTCTCTCTCTCTCTCTCTCTCTCTCTCTCTCTCTCTCT